AGTTTCGCTGCTCCGCTACTCCAATCGACGAACTGCTGAACACCGAGAACTCGCCACGTGAGGCCGCCCAACACGTGCCGCGCGCGACGGCGCGGCAAATTACGGTTGTCTTAACCGTGTCCTAGATCCAATGAAGTGGTGAAATGGAGTATAGCATGTAGCTTCGGAAAGGTGTCATAGCGAAAGCCAGTGATTCTTGTTTTTTTTTACGGAAAAAGGGGAAAAGTTGAGTTTCCTGGGAAGTCTTGTCATATTTTTCAAACAGCTTTTCTGTAGAGGGACTATCAGATTATTTTTAAACAGATCTTGTAACAGACTTGTTCACTGCAGTTGATGGGGCGTGTCGAGGCAATGGGTTTGCCAGCCCGTTTATTTCTTTTTTCTTTCGGCAACCAGACCATATCCAGTCGATTTCCATCAGTTGTTCGCTTACCCGCTACAACAACTGGTGAGGAACGGGATGGCGGCGCGCTGAACCCGGCTCACTGGTACGCCCATTGTCCGCAGCGAACAAAACCGCATCGTGGGTTTTTTGCTGGGGTTCTGACAGCTTCTGGAGATTAACTGCAAAAAGCTGCTGACGTATGCAAAGTTTGACGTCAGTTCGGCGCGTGAAGCTTCCCTCGTCCATGTAATGAGCTCGAAAAACAGTAGTTGGAGGAAGCGAGACCTCGGCTATAGTGGTAAGGGAGAGCCATCCAACTAAATGCAGTGAGCACAGCTTGCCCCTTTTGTAAGGTGCTGTCTGGCAGTGTTACAGTCTTGATCGGTGCTTTTGCTAGGGCGTGTCATGGAGGGGGCTCGGGCTGGTGCGGCACCGACCCGTTCTTCACCAAGTGCTGTCGCTTGCCTGCTCGAATAATTGGTAAAGGAAAGGTTGACGCTGCGTCAAACAAAGTCCCTTGGCGCACTACTGCGTCCGCAGTGAACAAAATGCTGGGTCGAAGGCACACGACGTGGGCAAATGTTTCCTTCCAAAAAGTGGAGAGGGGTGCTTCAGATCATGATACCGTTATATGTGAAGACTGGTAGCAATAGCACGGCCATCTAGTAGTTCCAGAAGCCACAGCTTCCAGTCGAGCGAACGACCTTTACACCTCTCTCCTCGTAGTCTTCAAGACTGGTTTCCAAACCTCTAGCGCAGTTACCGCGGAAGATTGCCAAGTGATTGGGAGCATAAGCATTGTAAACAGGGTGCAGCATCGTTGTGTGAAACCCGTGTGGGTCGTACTTTTCCGCTGGGGACGGGGGGGGGGTCGCAGTTGGTCGTTGTTAGGAGAGGGGAGGTATGTGGCTTTGAGAGAAATTTGCCGCGCTTGGGAAAAATTTTCCCGGTTGTTGACTTTTCGCGTGATTTTTCCTGTTTCATGTGCTACTGTATTCCTCT